TCCCTCCCTCCCTCCCTCCTTCCTTTCTTCCTCTTTCCCTCCCTTCCTCCCTCCTTTCCTGCTTTTCTTTCTCCCTTCTTTTCTCCCTTCATTTCCTCCCTCTCTCCTTTGTTCCTTCCTTACTTCATTCCTTCCTTTCTCATTTCCTCCCTTCCTCTCTCTCCTGCCCTCCCTTTCCCTTTCCTCTGTTCTTCCCTTCCCCTTCCTCTTTTCCCTTCCCCTTCCCCTTCCTTCCTCCCTCTCTCCCTTTCCCTTTCCTTCCCTCCCTTTCCTGCCTTCTCTCCTTCCTCCCTCTCTTCCTCCCTTTCCCTTTCCCACCCTTCCTCTCTCCTTCCCTCCCTCCCTCTTTCCCTCCCTCCCTCCCTCCCTCCCTCCCTTCCTTCCCAGACCAGCCCTTGTGGTGCTTAATTCCTGAAGTGACTGATGGCTCCTCTGATGATCTTTTTATAAGGTACTCTAAAAGATTCTTTCTCAAACAACAAAACAAGAGCCACCAAAGGAGCTCAAGAGTTTGCATTTTCCTCTCGATCTGCTCACCGTCAGTTAGGAGGATGATGATATGATGGGCTGTGGTGGAGACAGGAGTGGGGTTCATCCCCCTTCGCTTCTCCTCCGAGTCCTGTGCAATCATCATTTCATAGACACATCGAAAGCCACTCCCGATGTTGGTTCCAGGCTTCAGCTCGTGCACTGGAAAATCAAAATGCAAAGTTGACTCGTGCACTAGTTGTTCATCCTTAATGAGTCCCAGTAAGCCTAACAGAGGGAACATGAGATGAAGGGAACTTGGTGCTCTCCGAGTTTGGTTGTTTTCCTGCAGATGTTTCATTACCCAATCTAGGTAACATCATCAGTGCTAGTAAGGAATGGAATTGGCTCTCAGTTTATATTCTAGTGGCTTGCCCTGTCAGTATTGGTGGGGATGATCTTGGAGGTTCTTTGGTTAGGCCAGGGGTAGCCAACCTTGGCTCTTTTATGACTGGTGGACTTCAACTCCCAGAATTCCTGAGCCAGCATGGCTCAGCTTGGAAACCTCTCCCTTTCCCCTCAGCATGGCTGGCTCAGGAATTCTGGGAGTTGAAGTCCACCAGTCATAAAAGAGCCGAGGTTGCCTACCCCTGGGTTAGGCTGTTTAATGTTGGCTCGTTTGGTAGTTCCTTGATTGAGGGGTTGTTTACTTCTTGATTGTTGGTCTGATGCTGAGCTTGGAGTTCATCTATGCTCATCTGGTCAACCAGGCTCAGAGAGCACTAAGGACCCTTTGTGCTGGACCAGTATAACTCTGGCCAGAGCATATATTAGCTTAAGAACTGTGTTAGAGCATTTAGCATTTAAAGGGTTAAATGATGTCTCCTTAAGACAGTGGTTCTCAACCTTTTTAATGCCGCGACCCCAACCGGTCGTAAGTCGAGGACTAAACCGGTCGTAAGTTGAGGACTAAACCGGTTGTAAGTCGAGGACTACCCAACCGGTCGTAAGTTGAGGACTTTCCCTGCCTGGGAGCACCGTGCATGCGTGGTTCCGCCCCCTGCGCCGGCCGAGGCATAGCTGGCAAGCGGCAGAGATGGAGCAGGCCGACCACCAGCTGGCCCAGCCCAAGGGAGGTAAGGCACCCGCTGGAAAAGGGGAAAAAAATGGCGGACAAAAAAATGGCAGACAAAAAAAATGGCGGACAGCCTTGCTTGGCGACCCCCATGAAATGGTCGATCGACCCCAAATGGGGTCCCGACCCACAGGTTGAGAACCACTGCCTTAAGAGATGGCTTCTGGGAAATGTAGTCTAGTTGTTAGTCAGTCCTATATCTTATCTAGTCAGTGGGAGGGACTTCAATGGTTTATGACAGGATTTCCTGGCTAAGTGTATGTAAAAGCCTTTGGGTAAGACAGACATGTGGTTCCTGTGCTCCATACGAATATGGGGTGAATCTACCTTTAATTTTTTACATCACAAGAACGGAAAGATTATGATACGTTATGATACGTGTCTCAGAAGAGCTCTACTTAACCATGAGTTATTGTTTAGAGATTCCTGAAGAATAAATAATCTGAATATTAATCCGTCTTTGGAGTTTATCTGTCTTATGGAGTTTATCTGTCTGTGACAAACAGGAATAAACCCTGAACCATGAATATTTTCCTTTATTGGAGCATGAGATGAAAAAAGCATCTCTACAGCTAACATGAATTCAACCCTGATGAATACATTAAAGAGTGTCGCGAGATTTTTAGTCACTCCTCATTTAGCAACTATCTTGATTAGTTGTCGGTGGAGATTCTCAATCATCCAAGTAATGATTGTCCCAAAGGTGCTTTTTTTCCAAAAGGCAATTGGACTTTGCTTTTCCTTGAAGACATTTCACTACTTACGCAAGAAACCTCTTCAGTTCTGACTGAAGGGTGGAGAATGGAAGGATTTATATTCCTTGCAGTCATCTGGTCGTTAGCGCTCTTTCTGAGAGTCGTTGAGATCACTTGGAGGTTTATCTGTGCCCTCAGGGTACCTAGTGCAAATAGGTGTGGAAAATTCTTAGAACTGCTTAAATCTCTTTTTAGCAGTTCCAAGAAGGTTCCAGGCCCATTTACACTATTCAGGTGACCCTGAGGGAGCAGCTAAACCTCCAGGTGGTCTTGACCAGGGCTTTTCCACCAGTGGTACGGGTACCACCTGTGGTACATTGGCACCTGGCAGGTGGTACGCGACCATCCTAGAAAAGTGGTAGCGGGGGAAGGGAATAAGCTGAACCAGAGGCAGCACCGCACAAGCCTGAGTGAGAGATGGCTGGAGCTGCAGGGCTATCAGGCCTCAGCGGAAGCACCAGGATCAGTGCCGCTTTCCAGCTGATTGGCGCTTCTTCGGGGCTGTCAGGGCTCAGTGGAAGCACCAGGATCAGCTCCAGGCTCCAGCTGGAGCTTGGCACTGATCCTGGCACTTCTGCTGAGCCCTGAAGAAGCACCTGTCAGCTGGAAAGCGGCACTGATTCTGGTGCGTCTGCTGAGCCCAGAAGAAGCGCCAGGATCAGCTGGAATGTTGCAGCATCTCCAGGGTCTTGTGATTTACATTCAGATGCTTGGCAACTGATTCATATTTATGACGGTCACAGTGGCCCAGGGTCATGTGAAGTGACCAAAACCTGCTGCAACCACACAGCAGACGGGGGGGAATAAAAACCAAACACCCCCCACCCCACCCTGCTGCCAATCCTCAACAGAAATGCTCACAACAATGAAAACCTCGGACAGGAGGAAGAGCGCCGCTGGGTGGGCAGGCAGGTGTCTTGCTCGGCTGTGGCTTGGGGGGCACTTTTTTCAGTGCCATTGTAACTTCGAATAGTCACTAAGCGAACTGTTGTAAGTCGAGGACTACCTGTACTTCATCACTTTTTTCCTTTTTTTTTTTTTGGGTCATCAAGTTTTTGACACCTTGCTAAGCGACTGGTGGTACTCGGATGTTGCCATATCCTAAAAGTGGTACAATGGGTGAAAAGGTTGAAAAGCCCTGGTCTTGATGACTCTCAGAAAGAGCGCTAACAACCAGGTGACTGCAAGGAATATAAATCCTTCCACCCTCCACCATTCAGTCAGAATTGAAGAAGCTTCTTGGAAAAACAAAGCCCAGTTGCCTATTGACCAAAAAAAGCACCCTTGGGACTATCTTGGTTAGTGACCATCCGCAATTACAGTGGTAATAAATGACATTCATTTTCCAACCAATTTGCAGGCTTTTACAAGGAAATTTCGTGTGTCTGACCACAGAGGCCTTCAGGGTGAAACTGATTAAAATAAATAAATAAAATATTTTTTTCTGCCCTCATACATGAAAGAAAGGGCTTGCCTACCACTGCACAAATATACAGATAGTCCTCAATTTACAGCATTCATTTAGTGACCATTGAAGATACAACGGCAATGAAAAGAGTGACTTACTTTTTCACACAACCGTTGCAGCATCCCCAGGGTCACGTGATGCAAAAGGAAAAGCTTGGCAATGGATTCATATTGATGACGGTCGCAATGTCCGGGGTCATGTGATCACATTTTGTGAACTTCTGCTAAGCAAAGTCAATGGGGAAGCCAGATTCACTTTACAACTGGCTTATTAACTGAAGAACTTAAGATTCACGTTAACAACTGTGACAAGCAAGGTCATAAAATGGGGCCAAACATACAACAAATGTCTTGCTTAGCAACAGACATTTTGGGCTCAATTGTGGTCGTAAGTTGAGAACTACCTGTATTTACATTTCTTTTTTTCTTTTCTTTTTTTTTAACCCAGCATGCTCACCATCGGTGCTAATGGAGCTCAGCAATTCAGACACCCAGTCAGCATCGCTACTGTGTGGGTTAATTGTACTCAGAGCTATTCTGCTATAAGTGGCAAAAGTCACAATGCCATAATTGGGAAGGAGGTCATAGCTGGAGATCTAAAACAAAACAAAAAACAAAAAAAGCCAAGGGGTTAAAAGAAATCCCATTCAACCTCTTCCGATAAATTTTGCTTTAAGTTCCCAAAAAGCAAATGATAAACAGACTTAACCATAGTTTCAATTGGGAAAATGTGACTATTCTAGACCAAGCCAAATCCAAAAATGCCAGGGAATTTCTGGAAGCCTGGCACTCTGACAAATTAGGCATCAGTAGACACATATTAAAAACAACTATAGACTAGTCCAGGGCTTTTCAACCTTTTCACCCATTGTACCACTTTTAGGATATGGCAATATCTGAGTACCACCAGTCGCCTAGCAAGGTGTCAAAAACTTGATGACCAAAAAAAAAAAAGGAAAAAAATGATAAAGTACAGATAGTCCTCAACTTACAACAGTTCGCTTAGTGACTGTTCGAAGTTACAATGGCACTGAAAAAAGTGCCCCTTAAGCCATAGCCAAGCACCCGGCGGCGCTCTTCCTCCTGTCCAAGGTTTTCATTGTTGTTTTCATTGTTGTTCAATCCACTGTTGAGGATTGGCAGCAAGGGTGGGGTGGGGAGGTGTTTGGTTTTTATTCCCCCCCGTCTGCTGGGTGGTTGCAGCTGGTTTTGGTCACTTCACATGACCCTGGGACACTGTGACCATCATAAATATGAATCAGTTGCCAAGCATCTGAATGTAAATCACAAGACCCTGGAGGTGCTGCAACATTCCAGCTGATCGGCGGTTCTTCAGGGCTCAGCAGAAGCGCCAGGATCAGCGCCGAGCTCCAGCTGGAGCCTGGCGCTGATCCTGGTGCTTCCGCTGAGCCCTGACAGCCCTGCAGCTCCAGCCATCTCTCGCTCAGGCTTATGCGGTGCTGCCACCGGTTCAGCTCATTCCCCCCCCCACTACCACTTTTCTAGGATGGTCGCGTAGCACCTGACAGGTGCCAATGTACCACAGGTGGTACCCGTACCACTGGTTGAAAAGCCCTGGACTAGGCAAAAGAGTCTATCACCCAGCCAAAAAGGGAACAAAAAGACCCAAGCATCTCTCCACCAGCACCCAAATCAGCATAGATTAGCTCCAAGATTGCCATCAGACCAGCAATCAAGTAAACAGTACCCCAATCAAGAAACTGCCAAATATGCCAACAGTAAACAGCCTGACCAAAGAAGCTCTAAGACAGGGGTCTTCAAACTTGGCCCTTTTATGACTTGTGGACTTCAACTGACGCCATCGCTGACTATAGGGGGCGAAACTTTGGCCCCCTCGGATCGGGTTCGCAACTTGGGCGTTCTCCTGGATTCACGGCTGACACTGGATGACCAGTTGGCGGCCGTGACCAGGGGAGCGTTTTATCAGGTTCGCCTGATTCACCAGTTGCGGCCTTTTCTGGACCGGGACGCCTTACGCACGGTCACT